ATCCGGCCAATAACCCTCAAGGCAACCAAAGAATGCCCGTTCTCGCTGCCACTTGCATGCCTGCTGCTAAAATCACACTTGTACCGCGGCTGGCTTTCCTGCTGGTCGTAGGCTTACCAAGTCAGACTTCTCTCATCTATTCTCCGTTCCTGTGTACACAATAAATTCTTCATCCTACTCTGGCCTTCACGGACTTCTTCTCAACGAAGTAACTATGGTCTGAAGATCGCAGTTGTTGGGTTTAACTCACTTAACCCCCTGCGATAAGAGAACAGACCGTTTAATTCACGTTCTGCCAATGAAAACGGGTCAAATGGTTCACATTAACATTTCAGTGTCTTAATTTTACGTCCAATTCATTTTATTTTCTATGTGTTCGTGTCAAAACGCTGGCTGTTACGCCGAGGCCTTCTGAAGCGACTTTAATCACAAGGTCTGTCACATGGTCCATTAGTTCCCCTGCCTAATAGACAGCTTTTTTCAAACACGGATGTCAGTTGTTGGCTAAAACAATCAGCATTTGTTAACGAAGACAGTGCTCTGGGTACCATATCAGTTGCGCACTAGAAATTAGACACCCGCAACTTGGGCAGGAAGGTCTTCTTAGGCATTGTTCTTACTCACCGAGGTCATCATCAGACCAATTTGCATGCAAATGTTTTTGTTATCATTCCTGCTTCGTTGAGTGTTAGAGGGGTTTTCCAACATTTGCCGTATAAATGCCTAGGAAAATATTAAAAAGGACATATGATGACAAAATATGTTTCAAATCCCAGAGGCGTCGTTAGACAGTGAAACAGTATCTCAGCGTCGTCCTCTAAAATGTATCCTTTGTTTTATTTATCATTCAATATACCAAACACTTTCGAACATATAAAACGTACTAAAAAGGAACTGAAAATTTCTAACTTCTACTTACCTTCATAATTTTCGTAAACTGATTGCACCGACGTCTTCTCAAAGACCTCTGGCAGTAGGTCCATCTTCGTAAAAAAGATAATTATATCCTTCTTCGAGAGACAGACTGAGTTTAGCAGAAACAGGAAAAAGTCGAGACTTTCATCCATCTTACTCTGAAGGAAGAGTTATAGGAAAATTACACATACCTTAAACTGAGCTGTGCTGCCAGATTCTATGAAGTCCGTTAAAGATGCGAAGAAGAATATAGCATTAACGGTTTCAAAGAGATGGATCCACTTTCGGCGGTCACCATTTTGTTGACCAAGGTGGATCAACCTGTTGGCGAATGCATGAAAAAATGAACCGAGGAACCTCAGAAAAATGTTTTTTTGGGTTTTTTGTGAGCACATTGGTTTGGTTTTATGAGACCGGAAGAAGTCTGTGTTTTTAAGCAAGTAGTTGGCGCCTTGAAATCGTCATAAGGAGACTAATTCGCCAATTTTAAAAGAGACACTTGCTAGAATTAAATTAAGAACGTTTCATGCAATTACATCATCAACTTTCAGTGCATAGTCTATTGGACTTCGTACGAGTCAAATAAAAACCTAAGATTTTGGAGGACCTTGTTTTCAAAAAATATGCTAGGTTCTTTGCTCTGTCTACAAAAATTGATGCACTATAAAGAATTTGGTGGACTGAGTCCTTAATTGTCCACTCAGAGCTCAAGATTAACAGAACTTAATTATTTTAAACTTTTTAAAGCATTTTGAATTATTTTGGCTTCCTTTATTTCGAATGACTACGTTACTTATGCCACACTGTCTAATTTATGCCTTATTTTAGGGCTAATGAGCGAAATTAACCATGCGCAGGGAAGAAAACTATCGGGTATTCATAGCACGTTAGTCCTTCTTTATCTTCGGAGTTTAATACTCCTGCAAATTTATAACTACTTTGCCTCCTATTTGAGCAGCCGCTTTTGCCAGCAGCAGAGTTTGGCTCACGCAAGTCCGCTTCACATTAGTCCATACTTCTTTGGAAATTGCGTTCAGTCACAAAGGACTCTCCGACACGCATATTTTTTAATAACCAAGCAAAAAATATGAAATAGGTCTTCAGACTTCAGCACAGAATCAATCATTTTGCCTAATATCCTAGCGATATATGCAGACCATCGTCAATGACAACCTTCGGCATAATGATGGATGCACAATACCTTCGCATTCACGCATGAATATTATTCGGAAGTAAATTACCTGTCCCATATCGCCACGACTATTCCGAATAACAGACGAGCTTTTTTGTAGACAGAATCCCCATTGCGTGCGCAAGTATATCTATGGTAAAATTAAAAATTCTTGTAGTCGTGTGTTCTTTTAGGATTCTGCAACAAAGGGGATGATGGAGAGATTTTCAAATTCAGCCGCCATTTTCCTCCATCCATTCGCATGTAAATTTTCGTATATACGTCGGTTGGCCTACCTCGCCTATTATAAACCGATTGTCATCCCTATTTGTTTATTTGAACTACAGCGAGGTCGTCAGTGCACAACGCCAGCGTCTTTTTGAAAGCAGTCCAATTTGGCCTATTTTTGACCGAATTTTCCGAGGACATTTATCCACGATGTCGACAATTACAGTCATTGGCGATTATAGATTACTTTTGATTCCCGGTATTTGCACCTAATTTTATACATCTGAATGGAGGATATTTTTTCCTGAAAATTTTGAAATAATATTTTTAAAACAAAACCTATCCCTCTCTCTCTCTCTATTATGAGATAAGTTGAGCTCCGCTTCGCAAAAACGCCAAATTAGTGTTTTTAGGCCCGTGTAGCAGTTGGTGGTTGCGCACGTTTACTATTTGAAGTCGTACTAGTAAAATTTGATTCCGTCGTAAGACGACATGAGGGTGTGATTGTCGACTAGAGGGCTCTGAGGCACGCAGGCAGATAGGCAAACATCCTTCGGGGGAGGGCTTGCACCACGTTTTGGTAAGTGTTGGAATTTAGGGGAAGCGCTGGGATTTGTAGTCGTTGTCATTAGTGCTAGGGAAGACTGACGCAGCAGTGGGATCCTACTTGGTCGGCAGTGGGTTAACAGAAGCTGCCTCCGATTGCAGACTCTCCTCTGGGGCCTCTTCACCAATAAAGCATTTGATGCTAGGGTATCAGGCTTCAAGGAATTCCTGCACCTGGTTAGTGGTAGCTATGGCGACCGCTTCGGGGACGTTTTAAGTGAAGCAGTCGTCACACTCAAAGACATACAAGAAAATACGAGGCAGGAGGACACATCGACTACTAGCTAGCTTTTTCTCCTTTATGCGGGTCCTAAATAATTGATCTATTGGCCACTACACACGCAAGACTAATTATCGTTTTGGTTGTAGTAGATTACATTAGTTTGTTGTTCTTTAAATTGGAATAATACTGCACGCGAAGAGGATGTTCACCGGCGTGGGATGCTGATACCAATCAGGCTTGCTTGTCGGGAAAACGCTCCGGGAATTCCTTGCATATAGGGCTGGGTATAGGAAGTACGCCACAAAATTTCTTGATTGAAATGCTGTTAATGTGGTTGCCTACGGTGTTTAAATAGTTTTTTTCAAAAATTTTATCCAATGTACGCTGGATCCAAATAATTGATCTAACTTACCTAGTTACGGTTCCGAAATATAAAGCGAAAAGGATTTCGGACACAGCTTCTTTTATTGTCCGCGGGGCGTTCTCTTCCACAGTTGGAGGTGGTCTCGGTGCTAGTCATTTCTTTGGTCCTTGTTACTAGGCCGCCGTCCCGCAGTCTTTATTGACTTGTGCTGCGAAATGAAGGATGTCTTCTTTTGCCCCTTCGCGGGTAACTTGTGCTACTCGGAAGAACCCATTAATACTCCGGTGCAGTTGTACATTTTAGTACCTTTTTATATGAACCAAGGGCACGATCTCTACAGCTGAACCACATTTTGTCAAAAGTTTTAACCGGACCTCCTTTTCATTTTTAAGAGCCCATTTCAGTTAGCAGACCCGATATAAGTTGGCCGAATGTGGTATATTTGACCTGCTGGCGGTACGTTTAATTAAGGGGACGATAGTTGTTAGGGAAAAACCCGGGTATGTTTTAAGCATGCTGCAGTGTAATTTCAATGGACTTTTCTCTCAAGTGTCGAGCTACGCTATCTGTTGCGAAGTCATATTTCATTGATAAACACTGAAGAAACTCCATCAACTGGCGGAATACGTTCATCAATGTTGAAAACGAGGCCAAAAGCCGGGTTAGAACCGTCTAATTACGCCCTGTTGTGATTCCCCAAGGAAGACCACAACAAGAAAAACGCAAAAGTAGATTTATTTTAGCATATCCGGTACAGCTTACTTATGGCAAGTAAAGCGTACAAGATTGGACCAATCAAATTGTGATCTCAAGTGAAGAGCGACTACATTGGCCTTCTGACTCATC